GGCCAGGTAAGTGACTCGACAACTGCAACGATCCATCCGAGTTCATCAATGTCTTGGACATGCATCGTTCAGACTTCCCATATCAGCGTCTCATCATAGCACTCAGGATACCAGAAAACAGTAGTTGGCCCATATCAGCAAAGCTATCTGGCGCTAGCCGGTTCAAGCCACACGGTGTTGGAACTGTTCTGCTATGCGTTGAACTTCTGCATCATGTAGACACTTAGCAATGGCATTACGCATCTTGAGTGGGTAGGGCTGAGCAAGACGTGTCAGCCACCGCCCATGCTGATCCTGTCCACACAACCGAAGGTGAGGCGCTTGCGTGAACTGGCACAGTCCTCTTTTGGAAGCATGGCATTGCGCACACTCGAGACGCTGGAGCACCAAGTTAACGGTAACGAACAACGTGGCCTTCTTGAAAGGTTTACCCCAGTAGCAGTAGTGAGTTACATATTGCCGTACTCGAGGTTTACGCATCAAGGCCGGCAGAGGTTTTCTTCTTCTTGTTCTTCTTCTTTTCTTTTTCTTCTTATTTGTTTTTCTTTTTCTTGTCTTGCTTCTTCTTTTTCATGCTCTCTGCTTGTTTCTTTCCTGCTTGCTTATCCTGTTATGAAGAAATCTAGCGCCAACCTAGCGCCAATCTAGCGCTGCCTTGCTGTATCACCATAGTCTGTTGGGGGCCCGCTTCTAAACGAAGACTTCAAAACACATCTCCAACCTTAAAAGTCTATTTTGAGCGCAGTCCATATACGAGATCTTTGGGGGTTTTCCATAGATGCAAAAAGTCCAAATTGCAAGGCTAACTGTAAGATCCATGCAGAAAAACGAAGCCATAAATTCCCTGTAAGAACCTTCAGTTGATCACCAGGTCGGAGTCCGGGTAATCCCAAAGGGCAGGCGTGGCTGCGTAAAGGTGGTGGCCCGGGCGGCACGTCGTGCGTGCGGGTGAAACTGTCACATGGAGTGCCTAGATGTAGGCCGATCACCCAGCCACAATTGATCCACTCTCCAATCATCCTGCGTTTAGCTGAGGACTGAAGGTCGTACTCTGAGCCAAGGTTGATGTCCCACATCAAAACATTCCAGTTGGTGTAATGCGCCACGCTCTTGGACAAGTTTCCACAACCAGAAAAAGTTCAAGGTAAACTTGCCCATGGCTGAGGCGCACACGACTCAAAGCAGGTTGCGGAGCATTGCGGCAGCCGGGAGCTGGTGTAGCATCTGCTGCAAGTGGCCCCCCTTCTGGCACCTGCGAGTTGAGGACGCGGCTTTCCATCTTCCTCTCTGTTGGATGTCTGACATTGGACGGTACTTCAGTTGAAAGTCCCTTGAAGCTCCCGCATGCCGAAGTCTGTAAGCATGGGGAGGTCCCAAGCTTGTCACGCTGAGTAGTCAACCAAAGGGTTTTGTGGCATCGGCATTGAAGGCCACCCCAGCTCTAATGCTGGCCCTGAAGTCAAGGGCCATCTTCACCTTTTCCATCTTTCTTCTTGCCACCTTTCTTGGCTGCCAGCTCTCTCTCTTCTTTGGCCTTGCGAAGGTTCTTAGCCAGCAACACTTCACGCTAAGTCTCCTCCTTCACATGCGATTGGAGGGCCGGCGCGATCATCAAGGTTCCAGCATGCCTTACCACGGATCCGAAGACATACTGCTCCTCAAGGGCCAGCTTACCTCCTGCAAGTCTCGGCTCACTCTCTCGAGCCTTTTCCGAATGAGCATATTCCATGGTCTGCAGGCGACGGAACATCAGCTCTATCCCCATAGAGTTGCAGCCATTGTAACAGTCAACTTGTAACAACTGTCGCAACATCATTGACAACTGAAAATGTTCGTGCACGCCCCAAGCTGCTGAGTCCAATCTGCACAACTGTCGAAAACGCTCATGATGAGCCTCCAGCCCCAGTCCCTCCACCACAAGGTAGTTGAGGCACCACTGAGCCGTTCTTGGCCCTGTCAGCTTCCAGCCCATCTCATACAGCTTGGTGGCTGCAACCGCCTTCGACAGCGGCACCTCAGGGGTGCCTAGTGCGTTCATCTTCCTCCGCAGGATTCGTGCGTCACACATGGTAGCCCTGGCATTGAAATCATCTTTTTTGTTGCGTCACTGATGCACATGCAAAAAACCGACTGTCCCTCAGCTGTAACATGCACACACTTGCTCCCCAAAACTGCCGGGCTCTGAACACCATCAACCACCTGCCCAAAGAAGAAACCTCCGGCTGCTTCTGCTGCGACCCAAGTGGGAACGCCAGGAGTGAGCTGATGAACCCCTGCCCCACCTGACCCTGCTTCTGCCAGCACAGCAGTAGCAACAGGCACAGGGGGTCCTAGGGGTGGGCCCACACCTCCCGCCTGAGCTAGCCCTCGCTGGGCCTTCTCCGCCTGAGCGAGTCGACGGGCTTCATCCTTGATGGCTGCAATCTCCCCCGCGTTCCAAGCAGGCAAGGCATACACTCGACCTAATGGGACACCGGGTGGCAATTGGTGGGGCTGAGGTCTCAAACGGAAACTTCGAAGATCACTATTCTCAACCGTAAGCTGTTCCACAAAGAGATCTCGATCTGGAGTACACACCACATAATCGTCCGACTCTACGTGGTCCAAAATCATCCGTTCATGCATCACTATTGGACCAGGCACGTCATACTCAAGCAAGGCAAAGCGCCCTGTCAGCATGTCGTCTCACCTTTCTAGCTGCGTTCTCCAGTGACAGTTGGGGTGACTTGGGTGAATCGGATTCCTCGTCCGGTTACCGTCAACACTGCCGGGGTGAGGGTGCTAGTTGTAGGTTCAAGATCCGCACAGTATTTCAATGTCTCAGTCACAGCTCGGGCCACTGAGGCGTCAATCACAGCCGGATTAGTACCTGGACATGCGCCAAGCACAACAATGGGGACAATCACTGACAACTGACCCACAAGCGCTCCACCAATCAGAACAGTCCACAGGCCGATTCCCATGGCATGAACTACAAAAAGAGCTTGAGCGGGAATGACCGCAGGTCGGCCAACTACTGAAACACTCACCCCACTCATCAATCACGTTCAAGAACATCCATGCTGGGCCACGCACCCCCAACAAAACCGTACTCCATGGGACTGCCATGTTTGCATATATTGGGGTGGTTGACAAGGGGTCAAGGTAGTAGGTATATCATATATAATATTCCATATACATGAAGTGTCTGGGAGACACCGTACACCTCCGGAACCGGACGTCACTCCGACCCCAGCACCGCAACCCGGCCAATCTGGTCCCCCGACGTTTCACTCAAAGGTGCTGATGTGGCGCCATGCAACTCGCAGCAAGATAGCCGGTGGTCGGGACAAGCAACAAAGGTTGAATAATTCTATTTTGACTATCCCAAACACTCCATGTACGGCATATATACATACATTGGGGTGGTTTCAGGGGTCAATGTAGGCATGTATACCAGTCCCATGGAGTGTCTGGGATAGATAGGTACCGAACTCGAATTCCCATGGAATCCTAGTTTGACTCTCCCGGTACCCCAGGAATTCCGGGTTCCACATCGAAGACGGTCACGTGACCCACAACTGTGTGCTGCTCGACCGGTGGACTCCGGTGGCCGACTCCGGTGCAGGTCCACGTGGCTGGTACAGGTGGTGTGCTGCTCCAGTAGAAAAAATAAAAAAAACATGGCAACACATGGCAACTGCTATCTTCTTCCCCGACAGGTTCCCATCTTCTTGGAATGACTGATCTCCCAACCTTCCAAGACGAGACGAAGAATCCATCATTGATCTGTCTGTAGCACTGTAGCCTAGCAGCCTAGCACTCCTTGCTAAAACACCGGTTGTTCGCCAAAAACATGCAAAAACCATGAAACAAAATGTGGTTGGAATATGTTGGAATGCCAAGGGTGAGTCATGATAGTCATTGTTTATTGATGTTGGCGGGATGGATGTTTATCATTATTTATCCCTAGTTACAACCCAACCACTCTTCTTCCACAGCAGTCTGCTCTGCCACCGCTCTTCGGATGTCTGCTACTCTGCGCAGCCGTAGAAGGATTCATCCGTGCTCACGTCGATGGCTTTAGCAACGCTCAGCTGAAAAGAATTACACCCGGGAAGATTAACATGGAACCTGAAAATGGACCTTTGGAAGGCTACTTTCCTCTACAACCCAGTGGTTTTCAGGTTCTATGTTAATCTTCCAGGGTGTATTTGGAAGGAAATGTGGTCTGTGACTTGACCCAGATTGGTCTCAGCATTCCGAAGAGCGGTCCTCCTCGTGGTCTGTGCAAAACCTTCTCTCTCCTTTCGGCATGAGGTCAACTGCCAAAGCGGAGCTGAGGCAAGGTAGGTAAGGTACCCAACAGATTTGCACTACACAAGGTTATCTGAGATGTAACCTGCCAAGGAAAATCACCGCGTTGTCTGATCTCTTCATAGAGCTGCCAGAGCTGCCAGAGCCCCTTGCGAGCCGAACTCTGCGCCTGCATCTCTTGCTCGAGCCGCTGCAAACGCCGGTGGAGGCGGATGCTCGCCGGGTGCCTGGAGCGGACCCGAGAAAGCGGACCGGTGCAGCGTACGTCGCTCGTGATGGTGCTTTCTTGCGATCCAAAGCACTGATAGACATGTTTTTTAGAAGGAAACAGTTCCAGTGTGTCAAGAAAAGAACTGAAGAACTATAAATACATCTATTGTATATTCATGTCTAGAACAAAAAAGCCAGGAAAGAGTCACAGTTCCACTTCCCCCAGGGCCCGGGGATGCACCCAATATGTAGGAAATGACACCGATCCGCAAACCGATCCGCAACACGCAGGGGTGAAGACCCAGGAACACGCAGGTTGGTTTTAATCCATGGTGAACCCGTGTGACCACTGGATTTGGAGATGGGAGAGCAGGTTGAGCCACCAGAACGAGCCACCTGGTGGTGGTGCCAAGCACCACTGGTCGAATCCTCATCACAGTATGTCAGTATGAACCCGATCACTGCAAGATGAACCTCTTCAACAGCCTTTGGATGCCCTTTTCATGAGCGTTTCAGCGACCAGCGCCAGCTCAGTTGCCTTGTTGTTCTGTTTGAAGATGTTTGAAGCACAAGTTTGGTTTGGCGAAAGAAGCTCCGCATGGGAAGCGGTTGGTGAGTTGAACGCATGGTCGGACCTTGGATGGTCCAAGGCATGGCATATTTGACCGTCCAATGACCTCTGGTCTTCTATCTGTGCAACTGGCTGACTTCTTGTGCCCGAGGGTTCTACGTTTCTGTTATGAACCTCATTCTGTTCCACTTCGTTGCTCTGTTACTATCTGCTCCAAGAATGGAAGCGCAGGGCCGGCCCTGAAAGATGTGGCCTTACAAAAGAGAAAAGAAAAATGTGTCAACACAAATTAGATTCGATGATGCTAAAAAAAACATGTAAACCACTGCCAGTGCCCACGGTGTCTTTTCCCGAGATCTTGTTCTGTACAACCCTAGCTCCAGCTGCTCTGGCTTCTGGAGCCGGCGCAGCGAGTGGCGGAGAAAAAACACAAACTTCAAGTCCAACTGTGGTGTGTCGAGTTGCAGATGCAAACCAAACAAATCGAACCCAAACTGTGTTGTTATGTGTTGTTTATTTGTGCTGATTCTTTCTATTCTGTCTGTAGCTTCAGAAGATTTACCAAGTAGGCATTGATTCTGAGAGAAACTACTGACAAGAAGCTACTAGTAGCACCTGGCATTACTACTACTAGCAAGAAGCTACTAGGTTGGAGGCCATCGCTACTAGTAACAAGATGTAACAAGTGCATCACTAGTAGTGTCGTTGGTATCAGTTCTAAAAGCTTCAGGCGAGTGCCGCTGTTCAGCGCCGCTTTTCAGAGCTCTGTACACCCTGCGCGCCGGTGGCGCAGTTCTGCCTGGTTGGTGCCTTTGGCGCGCAAACCGATTGCTGGTGGGCTTCAGGACACTGGCATGGCTTAGCAAAAAGATACATCTCCAAATTCCAAATCCTAAGGGGATCTGAAGATCATGTCTTGTCAATGAATCACTCTTACTTTTAAAGACTATAGTATACACAGTTTTGAATGAATTGCTTCCAAGTGTTGTGATTGGTTTTGCTGATTGTTTTCACTGGGAGTTTTCTCTCTTTTTTTGCTTGTTTGGGGCACAACTATTTTTAAACATCTTAAAAAACAGGTCCGAGTAGGTCTCTGATTGAGAGGTCCACAAGGATCAACGAGTGGGACGATGCATTGAGAGGTTCCATGATGGAACAAAACGCCTCACGATTGACCACGACCTCGCCTTGCGACGTGCTCACGCACGCAAGTGTATCCTCGTTCAGTAGAGGGCGAAGAACACAAACGGTGTCACAGCAGAGTTTGGCAAATGGTCTATGGTGTTTGCATGTGTCTGCAAGTGTTCTTTTGTATAATTATGTAAACACAGGCCGAGGGGCCGAATGCAAAACGCGTTCCACCTTCGTTTTTTACTTTGCCACGTGACCATTTCTTTCCGCCAAAGATGCTTTGTCTCTGGCGGCTTAAACGGCCAGGCACAGCGGACGCGCAGCGTGTCTCAGCCTGCGCAGTTAGCCCAAGAAGGACCTCGGTGAGATGATACAGTTGGTCAGTCCTCTCAAGCAGATAAGATGAAACTAGTCCACAAACCCTTGCAGTTCGTTCTAGACTCCAGACACCCAAAGTGGTGGTGTTCGGAGCTATGGACACCGTGGTAGCTGAAACGGGTGTCCTAGGATTTTAAAACTGCACGGAATTGGACCTTGCATTCTTCCGATTATTGACGGTGACGGATTTGACGGTGCAGGGTCTTGACCAGGCATGGATCTGTGCGTTGATGCAAACCCAACCACCTAGGGTGGCCAGCCAGGGCGTCAGATGTGGGGCTCTGCCCTTTCCAACGAATCAGGGATATGGATGTGAACCATTGATTGGGTATATCAATTCCCTGTAACAGTGGCTGATGATGGTTCAGTTGCAAACCAGTGACAATTGTGTACGGACTGTTACAGGTCATAGGACACCCGCAAACCCTTGGTTCGATGCGAACGAGTTTTGGTTATCCTCACAGTCCTGGGCCACCAGGACGACGACTTGGAGGACTTGGGCTGCCCCCATTCACCACTGTCCTTTGGTTGTGCCTTTGGTTTGTGACTGAAAGGCGTGAGGAGAGCCGGAAGCTGGATGAAGCTGGCGCTAAGACCTCTGGGGTTTTGTTTGAAAACAGCGAGATATATACGAGCCTTGGTGCAACTTGCATGGGTGCAGATCCTGAGTCTCTTGCCAGTCCACTTCGCTCCGGCAGCAGGGGCACCTTCCAACTCCGACTGCATTGGAAGGCGCTTTGCATCTCTTACACGTCCTTCCTGTTTTCCTAATCTGTTCATATCTGTTACCATCTCCAACTTTTTTGCCTCACTGGCCGACGGTGGTCGACCACTCACTCAACACGTCTTCCCCGGTCTTCGCCGCGCCTACCGCGGGCATCCACCAGTTGTTGGGCACCTACAGGTGCTGTGTTGTGACAAACCAATTCCAGCTGGGCTGTGGCATGCTGCGGCGCCAAATTGGCAGCATAACACGATCGGCGCGACATCCGCCGGGCGACGATTGGATTCGGTCCGAAGCCTTTCTCCAGCACGGATAGGATCCCTTTGTCGCGTCTGGGGGTTGACATAGACATCACTATAGATATACATCATTATATGATACATTTAGATGTCCAGCACTGAGAAGGATGAACAAACCTGCGACAGACCGACAAACTCACCCACCCACGGAAGAAGTGGCACATGCACGATGGAAGACGTGTTTGCACTCAGGAAGCTCCACCACCTCGGACTTTAGAGGCAAAAAACACATCTGCGGCCGAGGACTTCATCAGTTTGTTTGATGTTTTTCGGCATGATCTTGTTTGGTCTGGATGTGACAATGGATGACATGGGGTGAAAAATGGACGACCGGTTGTTAGTTCAAAATGACAAGCAATGAGGACGACCTAGTGATACACAACAATTCCCAAAGTCATTCAATATTAAGTATTAAGAATATATAGATTCATTCCAATTCCCTAGTTGAGGGTCAAAACCCTTGTTGTGAACTCAAAATCTTCCAATTGCACCCTATCACCTGGCCGCACCTCGCACCTCGCACCCTGTACGGCAAACGCGTCCGGATGGGACGGCTGCGATGAAACAAGTGGAGCTGGGAAGACCTGTGACCCGCCTCCCTAGCCCACGACCTGTCTGGGACTGGAAAGAGGAAAAAACTACGATTGACATCTATTGATTGACCCAATGTTCAACCACTATTTCATGGCAGATCGTGTCTGGGTCCCAAACGGCGGTCGTGTCCTGCCATGGATGGTGCACGGTTCCCATCAACCAGGACGAGAACAATCACATCCAGATTCCGTGTTCGACCCGTGTTCATCCGTGTCTGACGTTGTTCCTTCACCAGAAACAACGAGAAGAAACGCGAAAAAAATGAGTGTCCAGCTGGCGCTTGACCGGGGAGAAAAACCGGACGGTCAGCGCTGGTTCGAGACGGTCGATGCGAAGCTGGTCGAAGAGAACTGAGCAATTGAAGAGAACTTATAGCCATATGCCTGCCTTGCCTTGTTGTCAGAGTTTGACACTTTCACTTGAACTTCAAACGGAACATGCACACTTCCTGCTGTTGAGCCACGGGCATGTGTGCGGTGTCAGCAAAGTCGCAAAGACAAAGGATGCACTCCTCTTGATCTCGAGCCGTTGTTGCCGGCTGATCCTTGACAGCCACAGCACAGGCGAATCTATTACACTTACCACTATAAAGTATCTTGTTACTAGTAAAAGCACCTTGTTACTAGTAGCGATGCACTTGAACCAGTAGCTTAGCTTCACTAACATGTCGTAGCGAGAGAAGGGGATTCAATGACCAAACCGCTGTGAAGCCAAACGAATTCTCTGGAGGGGTCTAAGAGTCGGTGTTCAATCCCGTTTTGAGGGACCACTCGGACTTTTTGTCGGGAGCGGTTCCCAGGAACACAAACATGAGACCGTCAGATTTGACTGGATTGAGCACTTGGGACCACACGGATTGACCTGAAACAAACGTTCCGTGGAGCTCGGCGCCCCAAATGTACCGACGTCATCCATCTGCGTGTCGCCAGCCCGATCGCTGCGCCCCACCACAAAGCTCTGATTTAGGGTATCGAAGATTGCCTGAAACAAGCACCTCAACATGACCCAAACACTCTGTATATATATAATTTAGTATATATATATATACATATTTATATATATGAAATATTTATACCTATTGCATCGACCCCTGAAACTACCCCTGAAACCACCCCCATGGGTGAGGAATGCCACCTGCTCCGAAAATACCAAGTCTGACACCTGCTGACACGATGTAATCTTTCGATCTCTGCCGGATGGACGTTTTACACGTGTTTTTCTTTCTTGTTCATCCCATCTCCAAATCACTCAAATGAAAACCACAAACGAGTCACCCCACTGAAATCCGCCCGCACCGAAGGTGCTGAGGCGTTTTATAGG